ACTTTTGTTCAGTTCCAAACTATAGGAAAAAGATACATTCTAAAAATTCCCACAGATGGCCTTGTGTCTAGAGGGGGATCTATAAATAATAATTCTTGAGACACCTCATATTGCTGACTGATTAATTACTGCTGTCAAAATATTCATTATTCAATCTAAAGGACCTTCAAGTCTAAGCATGAACTCTTTTCACTTATTGGGGAGGTGGCCAATAGTTTCTGGGCCTCTTGACTACTGATCTTAAAATATAAACATGAAGAGAAAAATCTCTGAGTCACCTAAGATGGGTATCGAGAGTTTAAAACCTGCACACTTTAGCTTTTCCTGTTTAGAAGATATGAGCGAGCTGAGCAGAAGTGACACACACCTTTAATTCCAGCACTTAGGAGGCAGAGGCAGCTGGGTCTTAGTGAGTTTGAGGCCAACCTGATCTACAATAAGGAATCTGGGGGTGTGGAGGAATCAGGCAGGCCTATCTTCAAATCTAAGCTTTGATGTTGACTTGTTTTGTGCCACTGAGGGGAGAATGGGACTGAAGCTTGCTTTGCCAACTCAAGGTGAGACTATCTTAGCTCTGACCAAATGCCTGAGAAGATCTGCTTACAGATGAGCGAGGTTTCAGCCCGTGGCCAATTTGCTCCATTGCTTTCAGCCCTGTGGTGGGGCAGGACTCCATGGTGATGGGAGATGGTGGCAGAGAAATACCCTCACCTCACAGTGGCTGGCACAGAGGGAGGTGGAAGGAAGGATGGGGTGAAGATAAAGCTTTCTACTGCCAAGTCTCCCCACTAGGACCTACTCAATAGCCAATTCTTCAGTTCTGAAGGCATCAATGGGTTAACCCCCTGATGAGGTCAGAGCTCTCCTGACCCAAAAACCTCCTCAAACTCCACCTCCAAACACAGCTGCTTCCAGCCCCAGGCTTTCAACACATGTGCCTTAGGGGGAATGCTTCAGATCCAAACTGTAACACAATATATTATCTGTCAGGGGAGACTGTCTGGAGAGTTGATGAAATAGTCACTGTGGAGGCAGGACACTGATGTCAGCCGTCTTCCTCTATTGTTCTTCACTTTATTATTACTTGATTTATTTATTTGGAACAAGGTGTAGCTGACCTGGCATCTACTGTGTACACCAGGCTGGCCTTAAACCCAGAGATCTGATTGCCTCTGCCTCCCAAGTGCCAGGATTAAAAGTGTGTGCAACCATGCTGGGCATATTACTATTTTCTAAATTATGTATATGTGGGGTGTGTGTGAAAATGTGTACATAAATGCAGGTGTCCATGGGTTTTCAGGGTTGGCAGGTGAGCTGCCAACATGGTTGCTGGGTACTGAAATCAGATTCTCTGTAATAGGAAGTTCTTTCTTTCTTTCTTTCTTTCTTTCTTTCTTTCTTTCTCTCTCTCTCTCTCTTTCCTTCCTTCTTTCTTTTTTTCTTCTTTTCTTTTTCTTTTAAGTCAGGTGTAACATGAGGGGGCCGGCTTGTTGGGGTTTCCATCCCTCCAAGTACCCCAACAGCTGGCAAGCAACAAAGAAAATCACACGGAGTCTACATTAGGTTATAAACTGATTGGCCCATTAGGTCAGGCTTCTTATTAACTCATAACTTATATTAACCCATTATTCTCATCTATGTTAGCCATAATGGCTCCGTACCTTTCTCAGCTGGGCAAGTTACATGCTGCCTCTTCAGTGGTCTGCGCAGGAGTGGCTGAGGGCTTCCTGTGTCCCAGAATACTCCCAGTCTCTTTGCTCCACCCCTACGTCCTGTCTGGCTTTCCCGCCTATACTGCCTGCCTGACCAATCAGCGTTTTATTAAAATATGATTGACAGAATACAGACAATTCTCCCACACCATTTCCCTCTTTTTTTTTTTTAAACAAAGGAAAATACCCATAGTCCATTTGTTGGGAATGTGGGCGTAGTATTTCAGGCTACTTCCTGCTGGTTGGGGGCGATGATAATCTTATGGGGACCTAAAGAAAATTTAGAGTTATAATCAAGTCCTGACTGGAGTATCCTGTGTGTCTTGATCATCTCAGACAGCAGTCTTGAACCTGTTCTGGATGAAGAACTCAGACATCTGGGCCATCTATTCCTGTCGGAGATTTTTCAGGTGGCCTCCCTTGAGCAAAGATGATTTTTCTTAACTCAGAATGAATCCATAGCATCTCATTTTCTGTGGAAACAAAAGCAAAATCTCTTCTCCAAAGTAACATACCTTTTGACTTCAGTTTTGAAGCCAAGGTATTTTCAAAATACCTACCTTGGGTTAGTTCAGCAGCATTTAAAAACAAAAGTCTTTTAGCAGCTGTTGCTCCTTCCTCAGCATTCAAACAATTCAAAGAGAGCATAATAGCATACAGTATCAAGATTCTCTTTGTATTTTCCATCTTTGTGTGGCTTTACTTTAACCTCTATTTCTTTTTTTTTTACTTTTACTTTTTGAGACAGGTTCTCTGTATATCTTTGTCCTGGAATAACTCTGTAGATCAGGCTGTCCTTGAACTCACAGAGATCCACTGTCTCTGCCTCCCCAGTGCTAGGATTAAAGGTGTATGCTATCACACCTTGAACTCAGAGATGCTTCTGTCTCTGCCTCCCAGGCATTGGGATTAAAGGTGTGTGCTACCACACCTTGAAGTCACAGAGGTCAATCTACCTCTACCCCTTGAAGTCACAGAGGTCAATATGCCTCTACCTCCCGGGCATTGGGATTAAAGGTGTGTACCACCACACCTAACTACTCTCTTTTTACTTTAAGAACTTTAACTTTTATCCTGCATTTATTCGTATCACACTATAAACCATTTAGAGGTTTTCTTTGTCTTTGAATCTCTCTTTACTGTATATCTTTCTTTTTCTGACCACATGAGTCTTTAATTTACCAAGCAATATTGGTAGGACTAAAGCCGTGGCTTTGACAGCTAGATCCAGCCCATTATTTAGCTTTCCAGCATCATGGCTGAGGTACCAGCCAGAGCTGTGTTTACTGCCACAACTCTATGGCGTTTCAAGGTCCTTGCTAGCAAGCAAGCTGTAGTATTCTGCTCACAGACCACACTCAGTTGGACTGCCTGCCTGAAAGAGTCAGAGATTGCCCTGGCAGGACAGCCCAGAAAGCCAGCATTTTAAAACACCGCAGCTTTTTTCCTGCTATGGCTGAAAACTGAAAAGCATGCGTTCAGCCTTTGATCAACACCGTTTAAGTGTTTCGTGGCAGGACCTCTTAATGAGCTGCAGGGTTTTGCAGCTAAAGCTGAGTCAGGAAGCCTCTCTTAACTGAGAGCCTTGCTTGCCTCTAGCAAGCAGAGCAGACCTGAGAAATTGCTGCTACCATACCAAGAAAACATGCTTTACTCTATTCTTTTCCAAGCTTTCTCAGGCTTTCTGTGGATTCAGATATTCACGTCTGGGCGCCATATGTAGTGAGGGGCTGCGGGCAGGCCTGCTTTTCGCCTCACCCAGCTCCCGCATGGCTAGCTTAGTCCCAGAAATAACAACACACAGATTGTATTCATTTAAGCACTGCCTGGCCCATTATCTCTAGAGAGTTAGTTACTGACTAACTCTCATATCTTGATATTAACCCATTTCTAATAATCTGTAGCACCACGAGGTGGTGGCTTACCGGAAAAGATTCAGCATGTCTGACCTGGTGGCTGGCTCCATGGCTTCTGCCTCATAGCACTCTTCCCAGCATTCTGTTCTGTTTACTCCGCCTACCTAATTTTCTGTCCTATCAAAGGGCCAAGGCAGTCTCTTTATTGACCAATGAAAATAACACAATAGACAGATAACCCTCCTCTATCAGTCAGGGTTTCTCTGTGTAACAGTTCAGTCTTGGAATTCACTTTGTAGACCAGGCTGGCCTCTAACTCACAGAGATCCGCCTGCCTCTGTCGCCTGAGTGCTGGGATTAAAGGCTTGTGCCACCACAGCTAGGCTGCAGGAAGTGCTTTTAAGAACTGAGCCCTCTCTCCAGTCCTACCTCTTTGGGACATGATCTCTCAATGAATTTGGAGCTCATAATTTAGGCTAGACTGGGGGTCCTCCTGTTGCCACCTGAGGGGAACACACCTGTGTGTGCTAGGGGCCACACACAACCATGCCCAGCTTTTACATGATCCTGGGGTTGTAAACCCTGGTAAAGCAAGTACTTTACCCACTGAGCTATCTCCTCGCTTTGTTTTCTGAGGCAGGTTTCACTATGTAGCCCAGGCTGGCCTCAAACCAATAGCAGTCCTTCTGTCTTGGCCTCCTGGATGCAGAGATTACAGGCATAGCTTGGCTCCATATTATCATTATTGTTGTTGCTGCTTTAAGACAGAGTCTCACATAGCCCAGGTTAACCTTGATTTTGCCGTGTTTCGGAGGATAACTGCTGTGGAATAATGCTCTTGGTACACTGGAAAGATTTGTCACTCATATCAGCTTAATAAAATGCTGATTGGTCAGTAGCCAGGCAGGAAGTATACAGATGGCGTGACCAGACTAAGAGAACTCTGGGAAGAGGAAAGTTAGAGATCCAGTTACCAGCTAGATGCAGAGAAAGCAAGATGAGAATGCCTTACTGAGAAAAGGTACCATTCATGGGCCTAAACATAGACAAGAATTATGGGCTAATTTAAGTTGTAAGAGCTAGTTAATAATAAGTATGAGCTAATAGGCCAGACAGTTTATAATTAATATAAGCCTCTGTGTGTTTCTTTGGGACTGAATGGCTGTGGGATCAGGCAGAACAGAAACTTCTTATGTTTCAAAGGATGACCCTGAACTCTGGATCCTGGATCCTGAGTCTTCAGAGTGCTAACATTACAGGCATACTTTAAGACTTCTTTTGGGGGTGATGGTGTACAACTTGGAGCCACGTGCATGCTAAGCATGCATCATGTTTTTTAGGTACATGCCTGCTGCATTCCATCACACTTGTCTCTTAGTGTTTTCATGGCACCAACCTCTTCTGAACCACCCACTGTGCTGTTCTTTTTTTCTTGTTTTTGTCTGTTTTCCCCATCATGCTGTGCATTCCATAAGAGAGGATTTTCTTGCCTCTGTAAAACCAAGAACAAGGTCACAGGTAAGGAATCATACATAAAACACTTATTGAATAGTCATATACTTTTAGATGATGAGTTGTTCCCCCCCCCCCCCCAGACAGGGTCTCACTATGTAGCCCTGGCTTTCTTGGAACTATGTTGTTTTGGCTGGCCTTGAACTCCCAGAAGTCCTCTTCTGCCTCCCAAGTACTGGAATTAAAGGCATGAGCCACTAAGTCTAGCAAGTACACATGTTTTAAAAGGTGCATGTCAGTGTTGATAACAAAAGTTGCAATTTTCACTAATGGAGCACTATTAAAATACCAGGGACCAGGGGCTGGAGAGATGGCTCAGCAGTTAAAAGCATTGCCTGCTCTTCCAAAGGTCCTGAGTTCAATTCCCAGCAACCACATGGTGACTCACAACCATCTGAAATGAGATCTGATGCCCTCTTCTGGCCTGCAGGCAGACACACTGACACAATATTGTATAGATAATAAATAAATAAATAAATAAATAAATAAATAAACAGGCACCGGAAGGAAATACATTTTTTATTTTTTTATTTTTATGTGTGTGTATGTTTGCCTGCATGTATGTCTCTGTACCACATATGTGCAGTAATCTTGGAGGTCAGAAGAGGATGTTGTATCTCTTGGGACTAAAGTTTGGATCCCTTGGGACTGAAGTTATAAATGGTTATGAGTTGCCCTCTAAGTCCTGGGAATTGAATCCTGGTCCTCTGGAAGAGCAGTCAGGGTTCTTTTTTGTTTTTTTTTAATATTTATTTATTTATTACATATACAATGTTCTGCCTGCATGTATGTCTGCAGGCCCCAGACCTCATTACAGATGGTTGTGAGCCACCATGTGATTGCTGGGAATTGAACTCAGGACCTTTGGAAGAGTAGGTAATGCTCTTAACTGCTGAGCTATCTTTCCAGCCCACAGTCAGTGTTCTTAAACCAGTCAACCATCTCTCTAGTCTGAAGGCAATCATCATTGATAGATGATTTATTTTTATCAGATGTCAATGCCTTTTTACACCCTTCTTTTCAGTAAATACTAACCACCTACTGTGAGTTTTACTGAGGAGTTCTTATGACTAAGTGTGTAATGCCCATTATATACCAGTTTTTAGTATTATTATTTAATTACCGAATTATTTAATTTATTTTTTGGATACAGCGCCTACATAGCCCAGGCTGACCTGAAACATGCTATATAGACCAGGTTAGCCTGCAACTTTCAATGGGAGAACTGGTGTGCACCATCAGACATGAATTTTATTTATTATGTTGTTGATAGAACCCAGGACCTCAGCTATGCTAGGCTGGTCCTCTAACACTGAATTACACCCGATGTTTCGTGAGAGACTTCTGAAAATATCTCATTTAAATGATAAAAGGGTTGACCCTCCACGATCCTACTAGAAAGAGGCTCTGGCCTGAGCAACGGGTGCATACCTGAGCAAGGAGGAGGGAGGAGGAGCGGGGTCATCTTCGCCGGAGTCCACAGACCTTCGCAGAAAGTACAGGTAGAAGTGGAGCCTAAGATGTCACGCTTCAGACTCTGCAGGTGGGTTTAGAGTCCCGCAGGGACGTAGGCAGGACCAGATCGGAGGGAGGGCGGGGCCTGTATTGTCCGCCCCGCGGGGCATGCCGGGAACCCCGCCCCCAAGATGGCGTCTCACTGACAGTTGGCTGCGGAGCGGCAGAGGCGGATCCTGCTAGTCAGGGCGGCGGCGGGGCCGGGGTCTCCCGGGCCGGGGTTGGCGTGTGGAAGGGATGGCGGCGCGGAACGCCTAGGGCGGTGCCGCGTGGGTAAGGCGGGCGCGGCGGGCGGCTATGGGCTGCTGAAGCGGCGGTGTCCCTACAGCGCCTTCCCTTAGCCATGGGTTCATCGGCTGCCGCGGCAGCGGCGGCAGCGGCAGCAGCGGCGGCGGACTCCGCACAGTGGCTGTCGGTGAAGGAGGAGACCATCTTTCTGCACGACGGGCTTATCCGGGTCACCGACCTGGCCGAGCTGCCCAGCGAGATCCTCGGCGCCCCGGAGGCCGCCGACACCGACCTGGAGGTGAGCGAGCCGCGGCAGGTGTGTGTGCGACTCTTGAGAGCATCTTCGGGCCGCGGCCTGGAGCCCGGGCAGCCGC